CTGTGATGGCGCATGTGAATAAACATGATTGCTATGCAAACTTAACCTCTAGAAAATATATTGTTGTTATAAATGATACTGGGCACTTACCTAAGTCCTTCACATAAAACGAAGTTCTTATAAATTGATTGGATACTTGTTCATGTAACAGAAAATTATCATGAAGTTCAAAGAAATGCCTCCTGCTTTCTTACATATGTTGTGTCAAGATCTAATTTACCACTTTTTGGCTCTCATGAATTATCAAGACTTACCTAATACAATAAACTAGTAGTGTTCTAAAGCAGATCACTTCTAGCTTCCCAGAACCTATAATTATGAATGTGTTGTGACATGGGATTTATTAGCAATACCAAACACTCATATGTTCACCAATCCCCTATAGTCTCTAGCAGTTAAGAACAGCCTCCAAGAATGACTTTTGGGCCTATGTTACCATCTGTCCCAAGAGTAATGATGATGGCTGGAAAGAAAGTCGCTATTATGTATTAACAAGTCATCTATGAAAGTGATCTATGAAGAAGTCTTCCTTAGGAGTTTATCTTCTTTTCTCAATCTGTTACCAATTGCTGAGCAAAATCCTTAATAAAATAAATTCTTTTCTACCTAAAATCTTAGTTACAATCTTTGGCAGTCAAAGTCAATGTAAATATATCCAAATCAAGATCAGAGTTTGGTCTAACTCAGCAAAACAAGCAATCAAATACACAAAAACCAGTCAATTATGCCAATAAACTTTTATTGCCTTCATGGTTTTGTTTTTCTTTTCAATACATATTTGCTTCTGTAACATAAAGTTATTTGATATACATAAAACCAACATACTCATGAGAGAAATTCTTGGTTTGATTTCAATACTTGCATCTTGGAGGTCTGCACTGTGGTTTGAAGTCAGCTATTCTCAAAGCTATGGTGAATTTTTCCGTGGTGACTCAGTTTATCCTGCTGGCAATTTGGGTCTGGAGATGATGCTCAGTGTTCTGTGTTTTGTGTTTATACATCTTCCCCATAGTGGAGAACTTGATCATACTCGTTGCAATTGTCTTCTCTACTCAACTCCACAAACCCATCTTCTTCTTTTATCTGCTGTCAGTGTGTGACATAGCTTTCACTTCTGTGACCCCTCCCAAGATGGTGTTCTACTGCTCCAGAAATAGCAGAGCCATCTCCTACACAGCCCTGTATGCTAGATCTTCTACCGTTTCCTGGGTTGTACTGAATGTTTCATGTACCCAGTGATGGCCTATGACTGCTTTATTTCCATATGCCACTATCTAAGATACTCAGTAAACATGAACCACAAATAGTGTGCAATCCTGGCTTTGAATACATTATTTTACAGGTATATTCTGCCTATATCCCTGAAAAATTTCACCCTACAGTTGCTCTCCTGGTCCCAATGAGTTGGGTTACAATTTCTGTCATATTCCCGTGATGCTAAACATGACTTGTGCAGACATATCAGCCCTGAAGATGGTGGGGATCATCAGTAGGGGCCTGATGCTGCTAATATGCTCCCTCCTCACTCTAAACTCCTACAGCTAAATTCTCTGCTTCATTCTGCTGATCTACTCAGCTGAGGGCCAACATAAACCCTCCTCCACCCAGAGTAACCATATCACTACCATTCTCCTAACCTTTACCCCAGTGGTCCTTATATAGCTCCAGCCTACCTCCAATCCCTGGCTTAATGCAGCTGTTCCAGTAATCAATAATCTGATTTCCCCCATGCTGAATCCTTTGATCTGTAGCCTCAGAAATAAGGAAGTAAAATGTTCTCGGAAAAAAAGTGCTACAGCAAGTGCTGACTTTGTCTGAAAATGTACAAAGAACATAGCATATTTAGTATATAGAAGAAGTGATTCATTTTACTTTGTCATAATTTATGATCATTTTTTCCATCAGTAATTGGGTATAATTACAATTTCCCTTAAAATATTTTTTTTTAATTCTTGATAAATTTTTTTTCTTAGAAATTTAGATGAAGGCTTTTTCACACATCAAGCCTTTACTCTAGATCTGTCATTTGGTGCTTTCATCAAGAGCCTACATGCCTCCAAATTTCTGTAAATATAAGAAAGCCTATGAAAAATTTTATCTCAATGATAACACATATTTTGTAACATAACACAATCATCATTGTCATTGGTAGTATATTTACGGATGATGCAGGAGAATAAGTCATATTTGACTTTAATCAAAGCAAATCATATCAATAACTAATATTTCAACAGATATCAGTAGGATTCAGTGAGTGAACCACTCTCTGATTGCATTATTAGTGAGTGTTATCTATATAAGTAGAACTGGTCAGATGAAATATGAACATTAAGCATATGAAGACTCTTTTTTATCTTTTATCACTGAGAAATGCAAATAAAAACAGAAAATATGCATATATTAAAAGTGGATAAAATTAAAATAAGCACAAAATCGAGTTTCAGCTTTAAAAATAGACCAAACGTAACTCATCAGTAAGTGTTAAAAATTTAAAATTTACCTCATTGAGAACCAGATTGGCAGTTTGATGAACAGCTAAGAGCTCATTTAACATGATGTGCAAGTATTTCAACTAGTTATTTGTTTAAATTTCACACACACACACACACACACACACACACACACACACACACATACACACACACACACACACACATATATATATATGTCATACTAACATTGTAGAACTGATAGCATATTTATTTGTAATAGACTAAAAGACCCTGTATCATCAATAACAACATGAATACACTGTCATATGTCCATACAGCTGTATACCAAACAATAAAAATGGATTCATAGATAAATATTTAAAGGATTACTTTGTATAAAGAAAGGCTAAATATATATTTATAAAATGACTTTTTAGATGAAATAATAGAAATACTAACCACCACTCCACTATTAAAATGTGAAACTCAGCAATTGTCTATGGGCAGAGGTCAAAAGAATATTTGGTAAAATAACTAGATATATATAATTTTGATTGCAGCAATAGTTCCAAATTTATAAACTTGTCAAAGTGTGTGTTTCTTAAGTGTGTAAAGTATTATGTATTTCAGCTTTTTTTGGATGTTTCCTTAAATAAAAAATGAATATCTAGAAGCACAAAAATTACTATGGACATTTTGTTAGTGTTTTGTCAAATTTGGAAACTAATCGTGCAAAATAGCACCTCTACATGTTGAGTAATTCTATTCGAGCATTATTCAACTCTACTTTTGGACCTCTTGAGAGTATTTGAAAATTTCCTTCAGATAAATTCTTTATTCTTTATATTCAGTGTATGCACATATATTCGGTCATCTCCTCTTTGCATTACATTGAGTTTTATGTCGTGAAGCTAGTTGTATTTCCTACTGAATTCTGCATGTTAATTTATCTCTCCATAACAGACTCAGGTCTGATGTTCGTTTTATCACTGATTCTCCAGAGATTTTGGAGTAAGCTATTATATTGTCTGCAATTAAAAATAACCATTTCCCTTCTTTCCTCATTCTTATACCCCCAGGGAATTTCCTACATCACAGTTAATTGAGCAAAAGTTTATACTTAATAAATCAAGATGGGCTGGGTACAAGTTTCCTTGACCTTGTCTTAGTAAAAGAAGTTATTGATTCAGGAAAGTCAGGATCAAATGCAAATGAAGGATCTTGAATGCTCTGAATAGAAAAAACTTGTTTAATCACATTGAGCAGAATTTGCAGTCTGAAGCTGCCAATCATTTCTTCAAATGTTATTTTCTGTGTTTCTCTTGATTTTTTTTTTGCACATTTGTCTTGTGCTCTGACACCTTAATCGATGCACCCACAATCCACTTTTATGCTAGTACACATTCAATATTAGCAAGCACCCCACTACTTCTCACGCTGCAAGTTTTCTTTTGAAAAAATAAAAATTGTATTTTAACAGTTTCATACATGTGTATCATGCATTATTCAATTTCATTCCTTTTAACTCCAGCCTCTCTCATCTCTTTCCTTCACCTGTCTACTTCCACTTTTCCTATTAATCTCTTTTCACACTGTCTATAAATGTTCCATTCCTCTACTTATTGTCATGAGCACCTGTGTCCTTAAGATTAGAAAAATGTGTTGTAGTTTCCTGAGCATTGTGGTGATGCAATTGAAGATAGTTGTTCTCCAAATCCCAGATTCCATCACTAGTATATAGATCAGTTCTATGACAGAAATTACTACTAATGATTATACAAATAGGTATAAATCCAAACTGCCTTCTAAATGTTTCTGTTTATACCCTTAGACACAAGCTATTCTCAACACTAAAAGAGAAACATTTCCATTTACACTGAGCAATGGTAAATAACCACTCAGAGCTACTAAAGATACTGAGAATAAATGATGGATAAGTCCTTAAGCCTAAGCTAACCATTTGTACTATTATCTCCTTTAAGGATCAAAAATCATCGCAGATGAAGAGAAAGGAGGAAAAGTAAGAGCAAAAGGATAGGGAGAAAGGCAGTAGAATTATATCATCTGAATATGACATAGTCATTGTAATCTTGAATTTTAGAAGCTGTGCCTACATCTAAGGAACCGTCGCTCACACTTATTCATGGATCATGCAAAGGGTTCATGGGACCACACCCCTTCCTGCTGAACTACAGGCATAGAAAGATTTCAAAACCAAATATCAATATGAAGAAGAGAAGACTCAAGTTAGGAAAAATCTGAGTTATCACTTCATTTATAACAAAAATATCAGTTTTCCTGTCAAAACACTAATAACTCCTTCACAAAATCATGCTCTATTTTATTGGATAAACTATATCAATGATACATGGTAAAGCATTTTGTAGAAGATATATACGGAGTTTAGCAGTGTGATATAGTGCTTGTTGAAAATACAGGATAGTTAGAAATTATTCCCAGCACCAGACACAGATACATTGAATATTTCAAGAGATAAAAATGAATATATAGAACATATTATTATTTTAACAACTCCTTTTCCTATGTACCATTTGCCAAAAGTAAGACTTATCTCCCTACAAAAAATCTACCCAATGCTTTCTTCACATCCTTGTTCCTCAAACTATATATTAATGGGTTCAGCATAGGGATCACTGTGGTATAGAACACAGAAGACACTTTTTCTTGCTCCAGAGAGTTACTTGAAGAAGGCTTGAAATACATGAAGGTGATAGAGCCAAAGAAGATCCCCACAGCCATGAGATGAGAGCTGCAGGTTCCAAATGCTTTAGACCTGCCCTTTGATGACTTGATGTGAAGGATGCTGCAGAAGATGAAGACATAGGAAATAGCAACAGCTAGAGTGGGCACCAAGATGTTGAGCCCTCCAATGATAAACACAAGAAGCTCATTGAGATATGTGCTAGAACAGGAGAGATTGAGCAAGGGAAGAACATCACAGAAGTAATGGCTTATGATGTGTGATTTACAGAAGCTCAGATTCATCATAGCACTTGTGTGTACCACAGAAGATGAAAGGCCAAGGATGAAGGCAACCAGCACCAACAGCGAGCAGAGTCTGGAGGACATGATCACATTATACAGCAATGGTCTGCAGATAGCCACATAGCGATCATATGCCATGGCAGTCAGGAGGTAACCCTCAGCCACCACAAAGACTACAAAGAAAAAGAGCTGGGCCATGCACTCTGAATAGACAATCTCATTTTTCTTCCCAAGGAAGTTCACCAGCATTTTGGGTGTAATGACAGTGGAATAGCAGAGATCAACAAAGGATAAGCTGCTGAGGAAATAGTACATGGGTGTGTGCAGCAGTGGGCAGACTGTGATGAGCAGGATCATGCCCAGGTTCCCCACTGCTGTCACCACATAGATGCCCAGGAACAGAAGGAAGAGGGGCAGCAGGAGCTCAGGCTGCTGTGTCAATCCCACCAAGACAAACACAACTGCTGCAGAATGATTCCCAGTGCCCATTCTTTGACAATTTCCGTGGAGATAGAAAATAAATATTAAATTTAATGTCACACCAACGTTAACTTCCTGTTTTCACAGGAAACTAAAATTACATTTTGGAAGACCGTTACTCCTCTTCTGAATGAAGCTAAAGCTTTAAAGAGAAATTAGCAAAGTGCCAATGCATTGTTTTCGTCTCCTGTCCATGAACATCTAATGTATCTCCTTTAAATTTGTCTTCCAGTCAGGTGTGAATTCAGATCACAGGATAAAATGCTTTCTTACTCATTTAAAATGCCTTTTCTCCTGTATCTAGAAACAAAATAAAATTTTGCTCCAAGAAGGCAGTTTCTTTTCTCTTTTTTACAGAGACAGTTTTTACTTAAAGGTGATGAGCAGAAACTCTGAGTGTTTGTTCATGCATTTAACAACACACTTCAAGGAGCTGAAAAAGAATTGTTGGGGCTTTGAGGTCATATTTAGCTATGTAGGGTATAGTATCACCATGGGCTCTATTATTAAACCCTTTCTCAAAAACACAAATCAAGCTCTGTGAGGAAACCAAGAATTTTTTTCACTGAAATAAATCAGGCAAGAATTAAAATGGGAAAAGATTGTGGAACATTCTCGCACTGTTTCTTCACTTTCTTTACATAGAGTTTCCTGAAATATTCCAACACAATGAATGATTAAGCCTCAGTCCCACTGCATTAAAAATAGTTTTTTTCTTTTAATCTCCAGCTAGTGGGAGGGTAGAGATGTACATGTCTAAATACAACTGAGTCACTCAACCATTCCATGAAAGAAACTGTTCCTAACCAGGATAATCACCCAACACCTGGATTCTTTCTTAGCTGATGAAGGCTGAGACACAGCTATTACTCCACTGTGCTGTGACGAAACAGGGCCACCGGTGCTACTGTTGCTTATCCCAGGGTTGACAAGGAGATTTTCCTCCTACTCAACAATTCTCAAGTGTCACTTAATATACTCATCATAAGCTAAAAAGCCATTGCTTATAAAACCCCTAAAAACAATAAATAAATACAAGACAGAAGCATTTGCTACTTAACAGAACAGAAAGAATGCATTAGGAGAAACTTGACCCACCTACTAGTGTATGTCCATTGTTATTTAATGCTTGATCTGTACAAACAAAAGCTTGTGTTACATTTATTTCCTTAAGGATAATGACAATATAATGGGTCCACCATTTTCAAGTGTGAAATCCGGAGCCATGTTAGGTGGCAGTGTGTGCTGTCGGAGTACAATTATTTCTTCCATTAAGAAATGTCTGCTGAAGATAATGGTTACCCTCTTCCTATCCCCTCTTCTTCATCTCTCTTTTTCCTACCTCTTCCTTCCTTACACATTACATGTTGATATCATATTCTTTACCTACACTATGATATTAAATTCTCTAGCCCTTGAAAGGTTATATACTTCTGATGAAGAAATAGAGATTAATATAATTTAAGAGAAGACTCACACCTCCAGTCCAGTTATATGGCTCCAGAACAACACTTTCACAGGTATTACATAAGAAATAGTTAATATTTTACCGTTATTTGTTGTCTAACTCACAATAAACCTGAGAGAATGAGAGATTGTTGGTGTGACATTTTATTTGTCAAAGGACGGTCCCAGTTTCTATAGCTTCCCAGAAGGGCAATTCTAGATGCTGTGCAAGAGAAGAGGCTGAGGTCTCCTTGAAGGGAACAACCTACGAATGGAGCTCATCCTAGAAAGTCTTAAAACACCAAAAAACCAATTTCTGCAGTGAGTATTTTATCTCAGAGTTTTCTCTAATTTTCAGAAAATTAAGTAGACATTGTGGATAGATTTAGGATCAATAAATCTTCATTTCAAAGGCTGACTTCTTTGTCTATCAGTTTGATATTTTGGCCACATCATTTAGTGAGTTTTAATGTGAAGTGAGAATGAGAATACAACTTTCTAAGAATCTCTATGACCAAAGAAAGACATGACTCTAATATTCAATATATAAGTCAATATTCAGTATACATTTAAAAGCTAGAGTATGGTCGTACAATTTGAAGATGTGAAAATATACCAGCTTGGATTGAGGGCTACAGATTTGTGTATTTTTGTGTCATCTCAAACTCTTCAACTAGTTTTGAGTGATGAAAATATATTAACATTTAAGAATATTTGCATTTTATACATTTTCTAACTTCTGTAGTTCAGACTGAGGTGAGAAGTACCAAGCACTGTTCTGGAAGCCAGGGAAAAATTGTGACATTGTAGGTTGTACTCTGTCTAGTGCTTCTGAGGCCAGGAGGAAATGAAGTAGGGATACATGCTGTGAATAAGTTAATGATCTTTCTCCTCATGGTCTAAAAATGTTCATTCATTCAAAATAAGAAAGCAGAGATTTTAGTATACCAAGATATGATATGTTTAAGGTTGGTTTTTCCCTTGCTTTCTTTCTTTTGAAGATATATGTGAGTAAATGTGCAAGATACAGAGTCCTGGTAAATACGCACTGGAGAAATGTTTGAAGAAATCAAATGCCTTAGACTCACGGATTCCCAGTTAGGTTCTTTGTATCGTAGCTGGTTAAATTTGCACTGGAAATAATTCCTTCCCTAGGTGTGACCCAGTCATAAAAAAAAAATAACAGCAAAAGATAACATGAAAAGAAACAGGGAAATGTTAGTTCCTGGAGAGAATACTGAAACAAATACTCTCCCAATGAAACTGACATGTTGCATATGAGTGAAAATGATTGTTATGCCAGATGTTCCTCTATGAGACATCATATTGTTGTCATAAGTAAAACTAGGCACTTACCTAGATACTGCGAGACAGCAATGTTCTTAGAAATTTCTTTGTTTCTTTTTCATGTAATAGATACTTATTATAAAGTTCAGAGAAATGCCTCCTGCTTTCTTACACACTTCATGTTAAGGGTTGAATTAACATTTTGAGCACAAGTGAATTATTAGTAATTATATAATAGAAGAAATTATCAGTGTCCTAAAGCAGATCACCTCTAGCTTCCCAAGACTCATAATCATGAGTGAGTTACGATGTGGAGCTTATATGTGACACTCCTGAGACTTGGAATTTATTACGAATACAAAACACTCATAAATTCATAAATCCCCAGTAGTCCCCAGCATTTTTGAACCACCTCCAAAAATGTCTTCTGGGCCTCATGTAACCATCTGTCCCAAAAGTAATGATAAAGGTTGGAAAGAAAGTTCTTATTATGCATTCACAAGTCATCTATCAGGATGCAAAATTGAGTCATATGGCAGTTTCTGGGTTTTGCCTAAGATTTTATTGATTCTTTTTAATAGAGGAGAGAATTTATTTTGTTTGGCTTTGAGTAACTTAAAGCAAGAAACAAAAACAAACAAACACTTTACACTTTCTCAAGGCCCCTGAGAGAGCTGACATATTTATGAGGAGGAACTAAACAAGATCTCAGGCACTCAGGAACTCATTATCATGTGACTGAGTCAGACAAATGCAAGCTCTTCCCAGACTCAAGTCCAGATACTCTGTGCTCTTGAAGATGTTCCTTCAGTAATATATTCAGAGACTTGTCACCCCAAAATTAGATATAGAATTTCTCCCATTACTTCTTTCTTTCATGTTTTGTTGTTATTTATTTATTTATTTATTTATTTATTTATTTATGTTGAGGTAGCATCTTTCTGTGAAGCCAAAGGACTCAAATATGCAATTCCCTTTCTTTGTCACCCAAGTGCTTGGATTACATGTGGGCCCAACTATTTTGGTTCTTTTTAAAATTTTTTCAGTGACTGAAATGTATTTTTTCCCACATAATATATCCTGATCAGGGTTTTCCCTGCCTCTGATCCTCTCAGTTCATCCTCATATCCCCTTCCATCTGGATTCAACCCCTTTTGATTTCTCATTAGAGTGAAAAAACACTTCTAAAAGATAATAATGAAATAAAATAAGACAAAACAAAACTAATACATCAGAATAGAACAAAACATAAAGAATGAACAGAGTCTGAGTGAAAACACAAGAAACAGACACATAGACACATTTGATTGTACTCTCAAGAATCTGATAAAGATACTAAAATGGAAAACATAATACATATGCAAACGAACTGTAGTTTATATATATTAAATCAATCCCTGACAAAACAGTCTGGGGAGAACATGCATGTGTCTGAGTCAGTCAAATTGTAGTGAGTTTCTGAGTTCCTGGGATGGGGAATATGCAAAGATACCATTGAGTTAATTTTCCATTGGCCCTTCACTTTTGAACATGTAGTCTACCCTTAATCATAGTTTATTTACCCACTGAGACTCTCTTGGGGCAAATCAAATTTTCATTCACAAGTGGTTAACAATAGGGGACAATTCTGAATAAGGGATGGTGTATGTGTGTACTTTCAGCACAGAACGGCATCTGTGGCTGACTCTTGAGGCTCTAGCATGGTACCACAGTCTTTATAAGTTCATATGTGAGCCGATCCCATTGATTTACTGACCTCCCTCCTTAGCGTTCTTCATTCCCTCAGGCTCTTACATTTTTATCTGCATTCCCTTCCACTTTCAGGAAGTTTTCCCAATATGGTGTTTTATTAAATGGTAGGAGGCATTTTACATAGTAATTTTCCTGGATACCTTGGAAGAGTCTTCAGTCTTAAATATCTTATTTGTAAGAAATCTGATTAAATTTAGCCATACTGTACATATACTTTTTCATTACAAACAAAGTGTGATGACGTTGTCCAATTGCAGCATACATGGCTCAAGTTAAACACTACAAAGCTGAAAAAAAAAAACAGATAATCAGAAGAAAATACGAAGTACTCTTCAGAGGAATGCATTTCAGTGAATAATTTCAGGATATCACAATGTAAGAGATGTAGGAGAAAAGGGCATTTTCATTTTGAGGACACAATAATTTTTTTCCCACATTTGCCATTTCCATGGCGCTGTCTTGTATAATCTGTATAATCAGTAATATGTCTTCAATAACTGCAGCTCTTTTGGCTTGGACAGAGCATGCATTAGGATATG